CGTTACTGAGTATTGAAATCTGAGGTGTAATCAGCAATACCTGATCCCTTTTACAAGTGGATTGTTCATTATACGTTGGTCATCAGTAGCTGTCAATTCCTTAGTGCTTTGGCACTGATACATTTTCAACCAATGACTCGGTGTCTGGTACATTTGAAACCTATCGTTATTTATATTCCTTAAATCATGCATAGAACTGATAATTATTCGTCTGAGAAGACTGTGGAAAAACCTTTTATCTCTTCACAAAAGTATGGTCAAGTCATGGTCATTACATGTAATCATCCAAATGACTTTTAATTCCTAACGATATCTTCTCAAAAATGGTCATTCATTGAATGTGATCTGCGTCAAAATCTTTCTATTCGGCTTTTATCTTTCAGGTTAGTACTTATGACTGACTCACATCAGTGATGGAACTAATGAAAATGTAGGAGTACTGAACACCTGTTTTATACTCATGACCTCACCGGGGTTCGAACTCATGGCTTTCAGGTTCTATGGTGAGCATGTTAACATTGGATGTAGGTCACACTATATCACAAAGGAATTGAGAAAGGGAAATGTGAAACATTGGATTCCCATTCAGTGAAATGATGGCAACGTGCTTACCATCAAACCTGAAAGTCCTCGGTTCGACCCCTGGTTAGGTCATGGGTACACACTCCTGAGGAGTCCTTTACTGGGACGAAACAACTATCCAGTAATAATCCCAGCTTTCCAACGGCTCTACAACTGATGTCAGTCAGTATTGAGTACCAACCTGCAATTAATAAGTCTTCATAAACTTCTGAATAACAATGGAAGTTTCACGATTAGACTATCTAACTCAGTTGAACACATTACCATCAAAATCATCCTCCTTAACTACGAATATTCTTCATCGAATCAGCTTTCTTCTAGGATCAATGAGAAACTGGAAATGATAAACTGTATCATGAGACTATATTATTTACAGCAGAAGTGGCAATCACAGTTAATGCTTTGAAATGATAGGTCCCTGGCTTGAATCCTACTGAAGATAAAATTAATCACTTGGAGGCAGGTAATTCTTGATGACAAGTCTAAAACGCAATGAACCCCTGTATCCTCAATCTCACCACTAATCATCATCCATCATTCCTATTAAATCAGGTAACTTAACAACAATAATTACTTTTATGTGTATTATTTCCAGACAATATTGTTGACAAGATATGAAATTCTTACTATAATATTCTAATAGATTTACTCCTTGGACAATATTTCGCAATGAAATAGTTGTCATATCAAAATTATGCTAATACCAACAGTATGATTAGCAATAATATGTAGCAAGAGACTTCTGTATGTTTCTCGACTAGTCTGTAGGTACGCTAGAGTAGTAGAGAGGCGGTTTGCTTGCTGAGTCATCGGCTCACCTTATTTTCTTACTCTTTTCCCTCCTAGATTCTTGTGACTATCACCTAACTCATACTGCTCTACTCGCCCCCATGAAACAACATACCTATCTACAGGCTAGACGAAAACGTATCAACACCTGGTCGTTACAGAGGTATAAGAAAAGTGTATGATAGTCTAGCGATAGTGAAGAGACTTGGTTGTATTGTGTTCTCTGAGCTGGGTTGTTTAATCGTGAAGCTTTCACCGTCCTTCTAGATGGCATCATCAGCACTAACTTCAGTATGAAGTGAGCTGTTAATATCTCTCTGTGAGTGACTCAGTAGCTTGCCTTGACGAAGCGGTTTTTTGACTGATTGTTTCCTTTGATTGTTGTATCATTGACTATAAAGAATTTTCTGTTGGCTGGCTGTCCCTCTGCTTAACCTCTGACCTTTCTGTCGTTTATCATTTCTCTTATACATCTATTGATTGCTGACTGACTGACCAGAATGCCAAGCTTCTAGATATTCTCGGACATTTTTCGTGTATTTCCTCTCACCGTCGAAAATATTATAGTGAAGAGATAGGGGGAGAACACGACGGAATGAAAGTCGTTACATATAGTACACCTTGCACTAAACCCATCATTTGCAAAATGTTTTTTGTTTTTCCTTCTATTTCTTTCTTGATTTCCTTTTCATTCATTCTTATCAGCAGCATCCACAGTAATACGCCTGCGTTATCCCTTTAATTGCTCTTGGCAGAATCCTTACCCATTGTTGGCAATCCCCTATGATTCCTATCACCCTTTCAATACATACTACTTATGTCCATTGTTATCAGCAACGTCCACTACAATAGTTCACTTAACCAGTATAAAAATCTGTAGTTCATATTAGCTGTGTCACAAATAGTTCTACAATTAAAGCGTTAGAAACTTTTTTAAATGCCCGCAATTTGAAGAGATATTTAATTGATTAGAACAAGTTCAGAATAAAGAAATTGTATATGATTGATCGATTGGAAAATGCTATGTCTTGTCGTTTCTCATTATTGATTGGATTGAATTAGTCGACTATTGCTGACATATAGACTCCTGTGTGGATCCCTTAACATCGGTGATAATATAAGTTTGAAATTCAACATACGCGTTTCATCTTATCTTGGACTGTTCAGTCGAGTATGATGGTGATATTGTTCTCAGTGTCACTCCAACCCCGCATTAATCAATAGATTATTCAATCATGATACCAATGTTTGAGCGAAGGGTAAAGTTTAATGTTACAGCCTATAATAATAGGCCACTTCTGGTGTATAGATTCCACTGCTAGCCGTTGCAAATATGAATTACTCGTAATATCAGAGTATTCTATCTAACCTCGCTTGGTTAACTAGTTCACTAGTTACTAGTCGGTCTTAAGCCCAGTTGAAGAGGGAAAGTTGGGCATAGGATTAGCAATCCTACCCCTTAAAATCAATCCGAATCATGTGCGGACGAAGTGCAACGCTACGCATCATCATAGAACAGAGCATAGAATGACAGTCAACCCCTCTACCTCAACTTCATCGACTTTGAAAGGGCCTTCAACAGCATCAACTGACAAGTAGTTTGCCAAGTCCTTCAACACTACGGTTTTAGTGCCACAAACCTGTATCAATCTCATTCAACAGCAGCTATATGAAGACGCCATATGCCAAGTAATTCACAATGAGAAGCTCAATGATGCCTTTGAAGTGAAGATAGGAGTAAGACAAGACTGCCGCCTACTATCACCCATGATATTCTTGATTTTGGTGGACTGGATCATGTAAGAAACTATGAGGAGCGAGAAGAGGGTGATACACTGGACTACACAGAAAATAGCCCACTGTTTGAGTGAAAAGTAAAGTTTAATGTTATTGCTTTCAGTTCCTTGTCATTAATTCTGGTGCATAGATTCCACTACTAGCCATTGAAAATATAAATTACTCGTTATATGAAAATATTCACACAGAAATTCATATGCTACTAGTAATGTATCGATTCTGTCCAATAGACAACATGGAATTACTAGTTATACCATTAAACTATGACCCATTATTCAAAGAGTAGTATAGTGATTCAGTAGTTTAATACTGGGTATAAGATTTGAGTCCCGGTTAGAAAAATATCATCTCAAAAGGTATAGATGAAGTCAATCAACAGAAGAGTTTAAAGTAGAATAATGTTATGCTATATATATATCCGCCTCATTCAACAACTATATGAAGATGCCACATGCCAAGTAATTCACAATCAGAAGCTCAGTGAAGCCTTCAAAGTGAAGTGAAGACAGGAGTGAAACAAGGTTGCCTACTATCCCCCATGATATTCCTGATTGTGGTGGACTGGATCATGCAGCAAACAGTAGGCAGGGAGAAGAGGGGCATACGCTGGACGGCGGAAAAGAACCTAGAAGACTTGGATTTCGCCAACGATGACTTGTGCCTAATGTCACATAAACCTGAAGATCTGCAGGCAAAAACTAACAAGTTGATAGAAGAGGCAGGGCAGCGAAGACGGGACTTCAAGTGAATATAGAGAAGACAGAGGTGATGAAGATACCGCACCACCACCATCAACAACAACAACAAACTCCAGTCACCATCAACGGGAGAAACTTAAAGGAAGTAACCTCCTTCACTTATCTAGGAAGCACTGTTTCAACTACAGGCGGGACGGACGAGGACGTCAAAGTCAGAATCGGAAAAGCAAGACAGGTGTTCATTAACCTGAAACCAGTGTGGAGATCTTCTGCACTCAGCATGTGGAACAAGATACGGATTTTCAACACCAATTCAGTCAAGTGAGTGCTCCTGTATGGTTGAGAGACTTGGCGCGTCACGAAAGGGATTTCCAATAAACTACAGACATTCATCAACAACTGCTTACGCTCGCTACTGAAGATCAGATAGCCAGAATGGTGAGAATAAGCAACAAGGAACTCTTTCCTGGGAACGAACCAACCAAGAACCTATCACGCAACAAATATGCAGGAAGAAGTGGAGATGGATTGGGCATGCACTGAGAAGGCCGACTGAGGACATCACGCGTCAGGCCAGTCACTCGAGTGGAATCCTTACGGGAAGCGACGAGTTGGACGTCCGAGGGTGACATGGAGGAGATGGTGTGTGCGAGGAGGAAATGAGAGCTTGTGGGCTGTCGTGGAACCAGGTTCAAAAGATCTCAGAGAACAGGATGATATGGAGGCGTGCTACTGAAGCCCTATGTTCCACTAGGAACCCAAGGGACTAATAATATATATATATATATATATATATATATATATATATATATATATATATATATATACTCAGACCTGTCAGTACACACCTTTAGCACGATTACACAAGCAATAATATACACTTATTCACAAATAACCAGGTTAAATAGAATAAACCATTGACCAATAATCTCTTTCTTCAACTGTCTGTTCAACTTTCTTTTCTACAACTTCTGTAGTTAAAAAAGCTGAAAAAAACAACACAATATACATTTATGTTACCAAGTAGGTAAACCTGATTTGTTGAAAAATCAAATAAATACACACACACACACAATCAGTTTTAAGAAAGTATATTCTTTGTGGATTTGACCAAGAAACACGTACAAGTATACTTTAGAGTGTAGATGTATTTATCATATAGTAGATATGACTATAAAAACTTCACTACATTTCTTCCCATTTTTATGCTATAATGAATGAGATAAATGTCTACAAGTTATTGTTACTATAATTTTATTTACTACTATACTACTGAAATCTATTCTCTTGGAAATACTAAGAGAGTCTTTATAAAATAGATAAACATTTCAACAATAACAAAAAAAATGTATTCAAGTCATAATCATCTTCATAATTTTATTAATAATATCATTATTATTATAATAAGTATTATTTTCTTATTGTTAAATAATTCAATTTCATATAAAGTAAATTTAAACAAATTTAGTGCAACAGGAGGGAAATTCAATTCAGAACTATGCGATAAATGGACATTGAACACATTATCTCATGGATTAAATGTTCAATTATTCAATTATTCAAATATCTATCAGTATATACCACAAATTAGTATTATAATTATTGCACATAATGAAAATATATTAATATTACAAAAGACAATTAAAAGTATTATGATTAATACAAATGAATTATTAATGAATAATCGTATCAAAGAAATCATACTAATTGATGATTATAGTAATCCAGCAATACAAATGAATATTGGATTGTTGAATAAAACTGTGAGTGTTATAATGAAAATATATTGATTAAATTAGATATTTTATGGTGTATTCAATGTTTCGTCCCACTTAGAACTCATCAGCTAAATGTATCTATTCCTTAATAAAAAGGTCCTTTTCCTGTTTGTTATCCGTTGAACAAGTGGTCACTCATATGCCTCTGTGGCGTTTAAAGTGATGGATGATGGATTTAAGACTCAGTGGGAACAGAATAACTTACTAGGATGCAGACATATCCAGCTGATGAGTCTCAAGTAGGATGAGGCAGAGGTCGAATGATCCGACCCTGTATAGCAACCGCAAAAATAACAAGCATCATAACAACAATAAATTTTCATCTTAATAGGCTGATGAAGGATTCATATATATATATATATATATATATATATATATATATATATATATTACTATTATTATTATTATTATTATTATTTGTCCTTTGGGTTCCCAGTGGAACATAACGCTTCGGTAGCACACCTCCATTGTACTCTATTCTCTTCAGTCTTTTCAAACTCGGTTGAAGGTTGTGGTTTCGATCCATGGTGGGGCGGGGTCATAGGTGGACACTACTGAGGAGTCCCATACTAGTGGGACGAAACAGCCTTCCAGGTTTCCTTTGTTCCTCCAACTGATATCAGTCTACGATGAATAACAACTTGAAATATTTTCAAATCCCGACAACTGCCACAAAATTCAATTTTAAGTAAGCTCCAACAGTCTGAATTACCCTTTACAATTATTTTGACCTGTATATTTAATCACTCAGACATTGTAACAGATTTGGTAGAATAAATTGATTCACCACATGGAATCAGTAGTATTCTATCAAGCTTTGTTTCTCAAATTATCTCATCCCTTGGGTTCCTAGTGGAACATAGGGATTCAGCAATACGTCTCCATTGCATTCTCTTCTCTGCTGTCTTTTGAACCTGGCTCCACAACTACCCAGAAGCTCTCATTTTGTCCTCATACATGATCTCATCCATGTCACTCTCTCACACACACAACTCGTCGTTTTCCACATGGGTTCCATTCAAGGGCCTGGCACATGATATCCACAAATGGTCTTCTCATTGTATATCCAATCCATCTCCACTTTCTTCAGCATATCTATTTGGCAACAGGCTGTTGGTTGGTTCTTTTCCAGGCCAGAATTCCTTGTTGCTTATTCCTTCTGGCCATCTGATCTGGTCTTCAATATGGAGTTTACGAGCGTAGGTGGCAGCTATTGATGAATGTTTTGTAGTTTGTTGGAAATGCTTTTCGTAAGGCACCAAGTCTTTGAACTATATAGAAGCACCGACTTGACTGAAATTAGTTTTGAGAATCCGGATCTTGTCCACACTTTATACTGAGTGGATGGAGTAGATCTCTACACTGGTTTGAGGTTAATGAAGGCTTGTATTGCTGTCTTTCGGATATGCCTTTGACGTCTTCATCTGTGCCTGTGCCGTCTGTAGTTGAAACGATGCTGTCTAGGTAGGTGTAGGTGAACGAGACAAATTCCTTCAGATTTCTCCCATTGATGGTGATTAGTGCTTATTGTTGTTGTTGTTGTTGTTGGTTAGGCAGAATTTATCAACCATATTACATTATTAACATCACAAGTAACTGGAAGATATGCGTGGTCATCTCTAGAATTCATCAACTGAATTGGATTTGGCTAGCCGACGTGCATAGACAAATAGATCATATAATAGTAGGTCAAATTTTTAAAAAAATGTCATAGGATTGTTTAGATAATCAGTAGTTCTGAAATGAATTCCACCAGTAATTGATTATATCATTAAGGTTCACATTAGACTTTTTTCAATTGACTTCTTCAGCTGCATAATATATCATTAACAAACTGATAAGTGAAATCTGAATATTGTTAACGCATAATTCCTCGATATGTACATCTAACTGTAGGACTTGAAGAAGAAGACGAAGAAATATTTTTTGTTCAATCAAATGGCTACTGAATCATATTTTTGCGTTAACTATGAATATTGATTAGACTATCTGAAATAGTCATGGTTTAGAAGGCTGATCTTACTAACATGAAATGATGAATGAGGATGAATTGAAGGTATCAACCATGATTAGATGTGAACCAATCACCCACTGGTGATCGATTTGTTTACATGGTCCATGCCTTATATGAGTGGTAAACTATGTAACTTCAACGTTGAGTAATGTAAGTTGCAGTAACACAGGAGGCACTGATTTATTTATAATTGTGCCAACATATATCATTGATGGATGTCCACAAGCATGAAAAGTTGGTCATATAGTGATTCTTACCGTCTTACTACTACTACTACTACTCACACTACTACTACTACTACTCACACTACTACTATTGCTCACACTACCACCACTACTACTACTGCTCACAGTACTACTACTACTACTAATCACACTACCACTACTACTTCTCACACTACTACCACTATTATTACTACTGCTCACACTACTACTCACACTACCACTACTACTGCTGCTGCTACTACCACTACTACTACTACTACTACTACTACTACTACTCACACTACTACTACTACTCACACTACTACTACTACTCACACTACTACTACTCACACTGCTACTATTGCTCACACTACCACCACTACTACTACTACTATTACTCACACTACTACCACTACTACTACTGCTCACAGTACTACTACTACTACTACTAATCACACTACCACTACTACTACTACTACTACCACTACTACTACTACTACTACTACTACTACTACCACTACTACTACTACTACCACTACTCACGCACTACTACTACTGCTAACAATAATAATAATAATAATAATTATGTCACCTGTTCTGATCATTATGTTGATTTCGGCATTTTATTTTCACCTTTTGTCAATAAATTCGATTTTCCTTGTTTTGGTCGAACAGATATAAATATTCCTTTAGTAATTGTTGATCAATTTATTTGTTCCGCCATAGATTGAATATTAAACGACAATTACTTGTAAATTAGGGTGTATCTATTTACACTGGCATATATTCTAACGGTAATTTTCGGCTAGTCGATCTTTTAATATCAAAAGGGTTATCATTATTATTACTAGTTATTTGTAAACTAATGGTTTTTTAATGCGACTAATTGGGTTTTAATACTTAATGGCAGCAACCTCGCCTGGTTGACAAGTTCACTAGTTACTAGCCGGTACTAAGCCCAGGCAAAGAGGGAAGGTTGGGCATACGGCTACCAACCCTACACCCTAAGACAAGTCCAACCGCTACACAAACTTCAAGCACAGACAAAATATTAAAAATAAAAACAAACTTATTCCTCTCTGGAATCCAACAGGCGAAATGACCCCAGTTGGATAAAGTCTTTGGGAAGCCGATTGGTCGATGTGTCTTCTCTCTCTCTCTCCCTCTCGATGAAAGCCAAAGTAAACATGAGGACATGGAATGTCCGGACAATGTATGAACCTACCAACCCTACCCAGATCCCAAAAGAGATGAGCAGGTATAGCATAGAAGTGGTGTGAATGTGTGAGAGCAGGTGGAATGGAAGTGGACTGTGCAAACTTTCAACTGGAGAGTGAATAATCTACTGTGAAATTGTCACGCAGACGAGAAGTACGAGCACACTGAGTTTTGGAGTGGTTGTCATGATGTATGGGAGAACATGGAAGGCTGTGTGTCATGCAGTGGAAACGAATTTCCTCGAGGATGATGAGAGGTAGGTTTGTTGGTTGTGTGAAGAAGAATGAGAGGTTGTGGACAGTAGTGGAGTCAGATTCAAAATATTGCGTGGAACAGAGTGGAATGGAGACTTGCTAGTGAAGCGGTATGTTGCACTAGGAACCTAAGGGATAAATAATAATAATAATACTTAATGGCAGCAACACATTGGTATCAATACTGGGTGTATTATCAACCGAATGTTTGACTGACTGCTAACTAATCAGTAGCTAACTTTCCTAGCTGAGTTTGTACAGAACGTGTTTGGCGATCCACGAACGACTAAGTCATAACCCGCTGCTATTCACGTCGTCATTCCACCTTCAATAATAACTTCATAGCAGTAGTACTAACCTACCGAGTCATAGGTATCCCAGTTAGTCTCATCAAAAGGTGACTGATACAAGTATTTTAATAAAATTGAAGTATAAAATTGTCACTATTCGATTCTTATTTGAAACCCTGGGTCTTAGAAAAAAGGTGTATCTATGAGAAATTTTTGATGAAGACTGTGCAGTTTGAAAATAAACTTCAAAATGTCCACATCCTTTTTGGTATTGGCATACTGAAGTTCCATTATTCATCCATCCATCCATCCATCCAGATCAACATAGGACCAGGCATTACTGCGTAACAGTCCGAGTTGCCACACCTCATACCACCAAATCAAGTAAAAAGGCATTGAGGCACAAGATGAAGATAAGAAAATTCAGTCAGAAGAAATATAAACCACGAAAAGAGAGAAAGGATGAATGAGAAAGTAGTGAGATTCGGTATAGCGTCGTTAAGATGAAGATATTGTATGTATATTTCTACGCCACTTACATCGGTTTTGAGACATGAGATCACCTAGAGTCTCCAACCACTGGTTCCTCTTGTCCTGTGGACCCCAACCACCTAGTCTCCATCACCTCACATGGTTCAAACCAACAGTCAGAGACTTGATGCATTGGTGCCAATTTTAGTTTGGCCGAGAGCCAAGAGGCATTTTCCAGCCTGGACCTACTTCAGCCAACATTGTGTGACCAGGCAATCGGCAACTAGGCATACGTAACATGTGTCTCAACCAGCCATCTCAATCGATGAAGGTTTACAACCATGTCAACCGACTTACTTCTTCTCCCTAAAATTTTACTCTTGACTTCTGCATTACTGACGTGGTGACACCACGGAATACGGTCTACGGTTTTTATCTGAAGTTACATGATTAGATTTAACCGGTTTACTAATTAGGTTCTTTTTGCACAGGGAAGTTACGAAGCACACCAACCGATAACCTATTCTGTATGTGC